ACATCATCCTACACAAAAGAGATAAAACATTAAAAAAAAGATCCTTTTATATCATCTGAATTGTCCCCCAAAGGTAATGTGTAGGTATTAATCAAAATCTTATCAAGATTCATAAATTATATTTGGTAGTTTTTGTCTCCATAGTCACATTTTTAAAAATTTTAGAACATTCTACCTAACACTTTGGTTTCATGCTGAAGTTGAATATTTTTTTGTTAATCTTCAACCAAGGGTATTTTCTCCAATGATTTTTAGAAAGAGGAGAGACACAGAGAGAGGAACTTCGACATGAGAGAGACACATGGACTGGTTGCCTCCCACATGCACCCCCACCAGGCTTGGGATCAAGCCTGCAACCAATGTATGTGTTCTTGTCAGGGATCAAGCCTAAGACATTTCTATCTACAGGGAGCGGCACTCTGTCTACTGGGCCAAACCGGTGAGGGGGAACTTGAAAATCCTATATATGATAATAAAGAGGTAATATTCAAATTGACTGTCACACCCTCACACAAGATGGCCATCCCAATGTGGTCACAAGATGGCTGCTCCCATGTGATCACAAGATGGATGCCATAAGATGGCTGGCAGGGCAGTTGGGGGCAACCAGGCCAGCAGGGGAGAACAGCTAGGGGTGACTGGGCCAGAAGGAGAGGTTAGTTCGGGGTGACCGGGCTGGCAGGGGTGGACATTTTGGGACAATTGGGCCTGCAGGGGAGGATAATTAAGGACAATCGGTCCAGCAGGAGAGCAGTTAGGTATCAATCAGGCTGGCAGGGGAGAGGTTAGGGAGTGATTAGCCTGGCAGGCAGAAGTGTTTAGGGGCAATCAAGCAAGCAGGCAGGTGAGTGGTTGGGAGCCAGCAATCCCGGATTGAGATCAGGCCTAAACCAGCAGTCAGACATCCCCCAAAGGGTCCCAGATTGAAGAAGGTGTAGGCTGGGCTGAGGGACATTGCCCTAGTGCATGAATTTTGTGCAACAGTCCTCTAGTTTAATAATAAAGCTTTACTGCCAAATTAAGTGATCAACATTTATGTGTGTTATTGCTGAATTAACAGATAATTCCACAGCACCCTGAAGATACAAAATTCACTGTTCTGGAAAGCTTGTAACCGAGAAACATGTCCTTAACCAGAATCAAACCTAGGACCCTTCAGTCTGTAGGCCGATGCTCTATCCACTGAGCAAAACTGGCTAGGGTTCTATTGTCTTAAGTCAACCAATTTGTGGCACTTTGTTAAGGCAGACATAAGAAACTAATACACTATTGGGATATTAGTTAATTATTTGGGTACTTCATCAATATGGTGTCTTGCTGGTACCTTTATGAAAACTTCGGTGGGTACATTTTCTGTGAAAAGCTGCTGTACATTAGAGTGATAATCATAATTGTTTCAAATCTACAGGGAGAATGACATGAATCCTGAAGAGAGAGGGGAATAAGGATCATTGTTGGTTAAGGCATTGAGGGTAGCATGCTGGCCAGCCAGCCTCATGAACAAGACACAGTGAATGAATGATTGATCCTTTTGTTTGAAGGTCCTTTGACAATGAGCTATAATTGCAAACATGATCAACAATTCTCAGCAAGATGCCGGGTCTTTTATACCCATTGTTCACCTGTCAACAGTCTTTCAGAGAGATGTTAGGTGCTACGCTGCTTTCCCCGTTAGTTACCAGTAGCAAGGCATTCTCATAGCATGAGCCCTGTGATGTGCCACAGAGGTCTGACTCCTGCAGAATGAGGAAGTGAAAGAAAATGCAATGAATCATTGCTTCTGACCAGGACCATGTTCATGTTAGATAGACTTTATTAGAAATGTCAAAGCAGTGTTTTGTGTGATAAAATTCTTCTGCTAATACCGATTGATGAATAATCTGAAGAATTTATTTTCTGATGTGTTCAATAATGCCTGGCTATGTCATTGAGAAAGGATTTGGAAGTCATAACCATGCTGCCATGAAGAAATGGCATGTTAAGTAAATAACCTGAGTAATTAATCTGCTTCAGAATTTAAATGGCCTCACTTAGCATGACATCCAGGCCAGAAACTCTAAAGAAGAATACTGTCACATTTGATTTAAAAAAAAAATTTAAAATGTTGAACAATGAAATACATTTTTTTTGATTGAACAAATATTTACTATGCATCACAGGGGAGCTGAGCAGTCTCTGGATTTGTGCTCTCTAAGTTCATATTGTTTCTACCACTGACCCACACCCAGGCCTCTCTCTCTCCCTTCATGGTTCCTATCTCAAATAATGGAATGTTGTGAGGCTCACATTAATTAACATCTGTTTGGCAGCTGGAACAGGGGAGCAGAGCCTGGCACAGGATCAGCTCTCAGTATATGTTTGTTTTTATTATCTGTGCAGCCAGGTTACACTGAACAACCCGGAAAAAGATCTAGAAGGAAATGAGAGCTACACTTATGTCCAAGTTTATTCCTTCTTGTACTAATTGGAAGTTTTCGGCAATGTCTTACTTGTTTTCAATGGTAAACACAATAAAAGAAAACAAAGCAGATCACAACCTCAAAAGCCTCAAGCAAGGTTTCTTGATATGCAATTGAGGGCTGTGGATTCTACCAAGGTTACAAAAACAAGAACTTGACACTGATGGGAAAGCTGCTTTAGATGACAGGATTGTTAATAGATCATGACTGCCTCTCCTGGGTGTGGTAGCAGACGCGGTGCAGTGGAACAAACCGAGACCAGACCCAGGGGACTCTCCAGATGCTCTCAGCTGCAAGTGCCAGAGAAAGCCTGCACTAACAGAAGCCTGAGCATTTCAGGCGCTTACATAGCTCCCAGCAGGAGGCCCACAATAAGCTGGTTTGGGATTGGTGCTGGGAATTATCAATGTCATCTGAGACTCAACACCTTTCTTTTTTGTTTGCTCACTGTAAGGTTGCAATGCTTTTTCCTGGGGGTTCCAGGATGGTATCCTGAGCTCCAATCATCTTCTCCTCAAATAACTACCTGCAAGGCAAGAAGGTACAGCTCATTCAGTCACTTTCCCTCTCATCAAGGAACAAAATACTTTCCAGAAGGTTCTCATTGGCCAGAACTAAATTAAAAGTCCTTCCCTAAGCTAATCATCAGCCAAGGGGAAATAAGCGTTGTCATGCTTTTCAATCATAGTGCACCTCCTAGTGGTTGAGCCAAAGTCTACTATCCCTCAGAACAAAATCAGGGCCCCCATCAATCAAGAAAGGAGAGATGGGCATGTTTGTTGGATAAAGTAGATAGCTACAAGGAATAGTTTGACTATCTTCCACTATCAAATTAAAAGGGCAGCTACCAGTTAACAGCTCACATTGTGCACTATCGATGTCACTCATGCACTGAGCATTTTAAGTGCTCTCATTGAAGAGGCAGTAACAGGCCTTCTCAAACCCAACCTCTTCATATTCCCAGATGACATATCACAGTCAATGCCAATATCATACCCCATAGTATTTTGGTAGTTTTAACCTTTACATTCGAGTCAGACTGCGTAGGTTCAAATGATGAATTTAGTAAGTGGCAGAGATGTGACATTGGGCAAGTTACGTAACCATATGCTTCAGTTTCCTAATCTGGAAAATGAGGCAACAGTAGTAGCCTATGTGGTTGGGAAAACTTAAACAAATACTACATTAAAATGACTTAAAATGTTTGCCTGACACATAGCATATGCTCCTTTAGGTGCTAATCTATACTAATAAAAGGGCAATATGCTAATTAGACCCAGTGGACTGGCCATCTTCCAGACATTCAAATTCCTTCTGGACAAAGCCACGGTGGTGGGGGCCGAGGCAGAGAGGGCAGCTGGGGACAAGATCAGGCCAGCAGGGAAGGGCAGTTAGGGGTGATTAGGCAGGCAGTAGAGAGGTTAGGGGCAATTGGGTAGGCAGGCAGAGGCAGTTAGGGACAATCAGGCATGTGAGCAGTTAGGAGCCAGTGATCCAAGATTGCGAGAGGGATATCCAACTGCCGGTCGGACATCCCATAAGTGGCCCCCGATTAGAGAAGATGCAGGTTGGACTGAGGGAACCCCCCCACAACCCAGTGCACAAATTTCATGCATCGGGCCACTAGTAATAATATTAACCATGACTGAAAACCAGGCAAATATTAATGAAGATTCTTCTCGATGCTTTTCCAGCCTTTGATTAAAAAGTGTGCAATTTGCTTTATGGTGCGTCTTTCCATGGCAAGAGAAATCATCTTGAACTTTGCACATTCTTTACACAAGTCACTTGGCTTCTGTGGGATTCCCAACTGTAATATTATTTTTTTAATGAAATTCTTATGAGTATTAAATGTTATAATGCATAAAGTAATTAGTAGGTAATAAATGGTTGATGAGCAGTTCTGGTAAAATAATGGAGATGCATCGGTGAAGAGGTTGTGACTAATTCAAAAGTCCACTGAATATGAGTCTACTTAAATGTTTCTCAAAGGGACATTATAGATCCTCTACAGCAGAGTTATCTGGGATGACTGTCAATGCCGAATTTTGAGCCAAACTTCGTGATTCAGAATTTCTGATGGCGATGCCCAGGATCTGCTTTTTAGCAAGCTACCCAGCTAAGTGGTCAGCTTGTTACAGTTTTAAACCTATTTGTCTAGTCCTTAATATGCATGGGTCCCTGTCAGCCCAGTGTCTTTTATTTGCCCAACAGAAATATGCCTGACTTTTCATGAAAGGGTTGTGGGGTATACCCCCCACTCATCTTTGACAACTGTGGTGCTCCCTGTGACCTCAGTTCAGAGTACTTTAAATTTTCCTGGCCTCCGGTTTTCTCTTGTGAAACTCCATTAGGAGTCAAGGAGCATATTCCTGCCTTCCTAAGCCAGTCCCCAACTCTTTGGTTTGAGACCTCTCCCCATACCTTGTCCAATGCATCTCTTTCATCTAACTGTTTCTGAGTTATATCCCTTTATAACAAACCAGTAATCCAGTAAGTAAAACGTTTCTCTGAGTTCTGCGAGCTGTTTTAGCAAATGTATTTATTAAATCATTTGTTTTCTTAAGTAATCAAAATTACTAACAAATGTTTTCTGCTCTAGAGTCTGCATATTAAAATAGTATTTATAATTTAACAAAATCAACACTGGAATAGGCACTACTAAAATACAACTGGAAAATTATCGTAATTAAACTTTAAAAATATGGGTATATATTCTATTGTTTATAATTAAAATACCATTGTGCTCATTAAAACAATTATTTTTTTTATTCTGAGTACATAAAAACCCCCAAATATAACTATTACAAACCCTCCCATAACTACTACTTCACTTAAATAAGGAATATCTTAAAACTTTCTTAAGTTTTCATTGGCCTCAGTAACCAATTATGTATATTCATTAATAGGAGATATTCCCATATGATTCTTTTGGGTCAAATTAAGTCAATTGGTTATAAAAAGTCTAAAATAAGGAGAAATATTTTCATAAAAGAGAAATAACTGTGATATAATACTCTCACCTATAAAATATAAACAAACAGATTTACACAATTTTCAAGTAAAACTTAAATTTACCATGAAACTTTTTAAATTAGGAAAGTTACCCCTTTATTTAATTTTTAAATAAATCTAATGTACTGAATTTCTGGACCCAAGTGCTACTTGCAGTTTATGATGGAAGGCATTTTTCCGTTCTTTCTGAACTGGCCAGTTCAAAATGCAGTGAGATTTAAACATTCCTCTTCGCAAGCAGAGTGCATGGTTCAGTTTATAATCTGGAATCTCCTCAAGAAAGATCAAGATAATGGAATCCAGGTTTTGTTCAATAGCTTTCTGAACTGCTTGGTGCACCTTAAATCTAAGCAACAACAAACAAGCAAAAACACAAGAAATTGAATTAAGTTATTTATATATACAGTTTTTAATAGTCAAAAGCTCTAAAATCTAAAATTCCCCTTAGAATTTACTTTGATCTCTCACTGAGAATCAGGTTACATTCTTTCTTAATTTTATTTTTTAAATTCATTGAGTTGTGAGTAAAATGTCGATAAGATTGAAAAGCTCAATGTAAAAACAGGTATATACTTCAAATGTCACAGTGTTCACCTACCTTTTGCATAATGGGTCTTTCAGTAGATGCTGTGTTATAACAAAAATGGTTTTCCTGCTCCTTTTGATGCTATTCACAATTGCTTCAAGTTCCAGGACACCTGCCTGAAAGTCCCTTTCTTCCAGACAAAATCTGAGAGTTTGATCTTGCTCTTCCATCGGGGAGAAGTTCTCCCAGACCCAGTCCCTATCTTCATAGGCGTGAATTATATACGCCACATAGTCAAACTGCTCTGGCTGTCTATCCATTTCTTTGAAACCGAGAGCGCGATGCACTAAAACATTCCAGTAGAAGGATATCCTCCAGCCTTCGAAATGGATGCCCAGTACAATAAAGATAAAACTCAACAGGATGCTGGTATTTACTATAAAGAGGAGCTTGAAGGGGGCACTGTCTTTGCAGGGTGATATATCAAAAAGCATCACTGGGAAACCATGGTATTGCGGAGGGGTATTGCAGAGATAGTGGCTTGATAGCTCAGAGATATTGGTGTGGGTAGCATTGAGCCAGGTAACAAACCAGGCAATGCTCTCACACGTGCAGTCGAATGGATTAAAGCGCATGTCTAAATTACTCAGGTTCCTGAAAGCCGGCCCGAAAACATCCTTCTCAACCGACGTGATGAGGTTCTTCTGAAGACTCAACGACTTTAGAGATGCCTGCTTGTCGAAGATGGATGGTGGAAGTACATTCAAATTATTCAACCCTAAACTGATGCTCTTTAACTGAAGCAAGTCCTTGAAGGCCTCTGCCGGGATCTCATCAAAGCCATTAGACTCTAAATTAAGGATGTGGAGGCGAGAAAGACCCTTCAGAAAATTCACAGGACCGCCAGGGTTTGCTTGTTTCCAGAGCCGGGCTAAGTTGTTATGCTGCAAATCCAGAATCTCCAGTCTGTCCAGACCCTCCAACAGCTCATCGTTGATGTTGGCTATGTTGTTGTTGCTCAGGTCGAGGATGGTCATATTGGTGAGAGGGCGGAAAGGGGAGGGGGAGCTATCCAGGTTTTTAAGGGCCACCCTTCGGAGCATCAGCTGTCGAAGGCTTGGGACCGAGGCAAAAGAGCTGCTTGTCAGTTGCAGGTATTTGTTGTAGGAAAGGTAGATTTCAACAATGTTTTCTAGGCCTCTCCATTCCTGGCCCGTGAGTTCCTGCCCGATGTCATTAATGCCGAGGTCCAGTACCTTTAGGTGTCCCAACCAAGAAAAAGCTCCCCTCTCTATTTTTGAGATTTTATTTCTTGTCAGGTTGAGCATCAGTAAAGGAGAACGAGCAAGTGATTCAAATGTTTTATTTGTCAACGTTTGCAAACCGGTGAAGGAGTTGGCTAGACTTAAGTATCGCAGCTGTGTGAGTCCCGCGAACATGTTGCTTTTTATGCCTGGAAAGTTGTTATTGTCCATGTTAAGATGCTCCAAACTTGTTAGCCACTGAAAGGAAAAATCATCAATCTTGGGAGACAAAGAGAGGGAATTGCTTTGTTTCGTAAAGGAGCATCTCAAGTTCAGGTATCGCACATTGGAAAGCCCATAGAAAGAGCGAGAAGACAAATGTACTATGTTATTATACTCCAGAAAGAGATATTCTAGATGTGGAAGCCACGCAAAGGAGTCATTGCCAATGGCATTTAAGCCATTATTGGAAAGATCGAGCACGGTGAGGTTCGTCTGCTTGAGTCCAGCGAAAGTCGTGTTGCTTGTTTTGTACAGCTGGGTGCCGCTCAGGGAGAGAGTCTGGATGTTTGTGTTTGACAGTTCCTGACAAAGGTTCTCGGTGAGACTGGGGCCCAGCTGGGCATTGTTCAGAGAGAGACCAAACAATTTTCCAATTGCATGAAAACACCCTGGAGAGAACTAAGGGTGGAGGGAGGGGGGGGGGAGTAGGTTAATAACCAAGACACAGTAGAGTTTGTATGAACCTTGCAACTCAATCTGTTAAACACAATGCATTACTTCAGTCCCCTCCCCCTTATTCACCTTCTCTGGGTTTTTTCTCTGTCCCTCTAATGCACATCTCCTTATTCTGCACCTGTAACACCCAGGCCTTGCTCCAACCCCCCACTCCCCCCACATCCCTCCCCTGGCCACAGGGTAACTTCTCCTCAGCATCCATGGCTCAGCTTAGATGTCACTCCCAACATTGTGCTACACTGTCTAGCACACAGCCTTACGAAGTAATGTTTATTACACTAACTTTATAACTGGACAACTGGAGTAGAGAGAGCTTGAATAATTTGCCTGATTGCACAATTAATGAGAAAGCCCAGAGAGGAAGGCAACTATCTTAGCTCTAAAGCCCATGCTCTTAAGCATCACGCCCTGTTAATTCTCTCAGAGATTCTGTAAGATAGGATGGTTTTATTTCCACTTTACATGTGAGGACCCTGAGAGCTGAAGTTCCCCAAAGTCCAAGTACTGGTCTATAATGGAAGGAGGATTTTAAGCCACTTCTGTTGGACGGCGGAGCCTTAGCTCCTAATTGTTACCCAAGTTCCTTTCTCGTGAGGGTGACATCAATGACCAAGAAGTCAGTGTGAAGGATTTCAGAAATCTATAGGGATTTTTGGATTCTTATCCATGTGACACAATTACAGACTGCCCACACTTAAAGACAGAACTCAAATTTATATCACTTCTTACCTCTTTAATTTGATTTGAAGACAACTCTAATTTTTTTAAAGAAGAATTGCCAAGGAAATCAAGTTCTTCACCTCTCAGTACATGAATTTTATTATTTGATAAAAGGAGCTCTTGGAGATTTTCCAGTTGGAGTTCAGTTCCTAATTTAGTCGATGATAAGCCATTGTGAGATAGATCTAATCTGATTAAATTCTGAGAGAGAGAAAAAAAGTACACGTTAAAGTTTTGCCATCAAAAAAAGTTCCTCTAAATCAGGGGTAGGGAACCTTTTTTTCTGCCAAGGGCCATTTGGATATTTATAATATCATTCACATGCTATACAATACTATCAGCTTAAACATTAACCTGTATAATTGGTCAAACACTTAATTAACTCACTCCTAGTGCCTTGGCAGGGCCAGACCAAATGACTTTATGGGCCGTATACAGTCTGCAGGCCAGATGTTTCTCACCCCTGCACTAAATGTATGTGAACCTTAGAAAGAACTCAAGAGCAAAATGCCATTTCTCTATTATTCTATAGAAAACTGACAGTAGGAGTAATAAAAATCTTTGTTGAGATTGAAAATATTATTGTTGCAAGGATTTAGTTTCTTACATCAAGAATCACTTTATTTCTCTTACTGAAATAAAAAAGGCTTAAGATTACTTATTCATGACATAAACAATAGTCATAATAAGCATGTATTTACATATCTATATATATAAAAGGCTAAGCAACCAGCCAACCGTTTGACCAACCAGTAGCTATGACAAGCACTGAGCACCAGGGGGCAGACACTCAACCACAGGCATGGAAACATGGAACAGACTGATAAATCTCAGAGGAAAAGAGGGAGAGGGGAAGATGGGAAGAGATTAACCAAAGATCTTATATGCATCGTAGAGGACTTGTGCACTGGTGGGGTCCCTCGGCTTGGCCAGTGCCCTCTCGCAATCCAGGACCCCCTGGGGAATGTCAGATAGCCAGTTTCAGCTGAATCCCCACAGGGCAGGCTGAGGGACCCCACTGGTGCATGAATCTGTGCACCGAGCCTCTAGTTTATTTATAGTAAACTTATATTTCTGATCTAAGTAATATTCATGTGGCTTTTTAAACATATAGTGTTATACATCAGTCTTGAAACTAAACAACAGGAAAAGAGAATTTTTTTTTTTTTAAACTATGAGGCCCAGCTAGTGTTGTTCAGTGATTGAGCATCAACCTATGAAGCAGGAGATTCCAGTTCGATTCTCGGTCAGGGCACATTCCTGAGCTTTGTCCCCACTGTGTGGTGTGCAAGAGGCAGCCAATTGGTAATTCTCTCATCAATAGAAACATTGATGTTTCTATTTCTCTCTCCCTCTCCCTTCCTTTCTGAAATCAATAAAACATATTTTGAAAAAGAATTTTCAGTAGAACTTTGTCAACCATAAAATCCTAAGAAGATTTTTACATTGAGCAAGATTCATAGCTATGTAAACTTAGCATCATGTCAAGTAGAGAATGTTCATTTTTGTTTGTTTTGTCAGGGTTGTGGGATGTTTTTTCACCCTATGCTGTTTTTGAACATGTATGCTACAAACTCAAGTAAAAGATAAGGAAACATTTATATATGTTAGGGCAAAATCTTATGTCTATTAAACAAAGTAACACTTTTATTTATTTTTAAAAGATAATGATTAAATTTCCCCCAATGATTACTCCAACTGGATATTGAGGTCTTTGTGTCCAAAGGTGTTTTTCCACCTTATAATCTAAGAAGGCCCCAAAAGAAATTTCAAATAGCTTCCAAGCAAATCATTTTATAAAAGTTTCTAAGCATATTTAAATATGTGTTATTCTTGGCATCTGAGGTCAAGAAATGACCAGTAGCTATAAGTCCATTAAAAAGAAGAAAACAAATAGTTTTGAAAATGGCTTTGGTTTAGGAAAAGGACTTAATAATTGTCTCAGATTTAAAGATAATAAATATAGGATGGGACAAAAGTAGGTTTACAGTTGTGAGTACATGAAACACAGTTTATTCTTATATTATTTAATTGTATTGGTTTTCATATAAGTAACTATCAACCTACTTTAGCTCTACCCTGTACATTTTTCACAGATTTAAAATTCAAGCAAAATACTAAAAGGGAAAATGTAAGTAGTCATTGGAAAAACAATATTGTGAGATTTCTAAAATCAAGAATAGGTAACTTTAAGTTGAACAACTTATCATCTATCAATGTGTTAACCTTATTTAAGTCAGAATTTACACTCGACTTTTTTTCTCATTATTTCAGGTACAAAATCAGCAGCCTTGAAAGGGTATTTGCTGTGCTCCTCATGGGATGTTCCAATTCATCTTTGATCCCTACCTCCTGTATCTAAGAAAGTTCTGTTTCTAATGGGAAGAAGCAAGAGAGGCAGAGATCTTTAAAATTAAGATTGAAACTGATTTAAGCCCTAGACTATTTGGCTCAGTGGATAGAGCATCAGGTTGCAGACTGAAGGGTCCCGGGTTTGATTCCCGTCAAGGCCACATACCCGGGTTATGGGCTCAATCCCTAGAAGGGGTGTGCAGGAGGGAACCAATCAATGATTCTCTTTCATCACTGATGTTTCTATCTCTCTCTTCTCTTCCTTCCTCTCTGAAACCAATAACAAATATATTTTTACTAAAAAAAGAGAAACTGATTTAAGATGATATTTTCTCTTTTCAAAACATTTCCCATGATAATGGCAATATTTGTGTGTGGTTCCCCTCAGCTCTCCAATTTGGATAGATCAGATTTCTCCTTCTCCACTCAGATATCTAGATATTAAGTCTAAGGATGAATACATGATTTAAAACCTTAACATTAGATAACATACTTTTCATTTATTATATGGAAATAAACATTTTCACCTTACCTTCAGGTTTTTAAAGGGATTATTTTGAATTTTATGGATTAAGTTGTATCCAAGATGGAGTTCAGACAAATTCTGGCAGAAGATAAAGGTTTTGTCAGAAAGTTGAGACAGCTCATTGTGTTGGAGGTTCAAAATTTCCAACAAGGGGAGTTTTTGGCACAATTCTGGCTCCAGTTTTGAGATGGAGTTAAATCCTGCATCTAAGATAGTAAGTTGACTGTATCTTGTAAGATTGGCAGGTGGTAATTTTCTGATTTGATTATGGGTCAGATTCAGCACTGTTATGTTTGCCGGGAGGTCATCCGGTATCTGAGTCAACTTCAGGTGACTGCAGTCAGCTACTTCATGCTGAACAGCACACCTGCTGGCAGAAGATACGCACTGCATCCAAAAGGGCAACAGTCCCAAAAAGCAGCAGATATTACACAGCAGACTCCGGCTCATGATTCCACCCTATAAAAAATATTAGAAAGCAATAAATTATATTAATAACACATGTTTTTACATGCATTGGTATATTCTTTGTAAAATATGTAACCAAATGTATCTATGCATGATTTTTTTTTAACTATAACTTTCATGATATACAAGTATGTTTAATACAGGTAGTACATTATATGGAAACCAGTGGTCCAGTGCACGGACTCATGCATATTGAAAGGAAATTAATTAGAAAAAATATTTGAATATCTCTATTTGCCCTTTTTCTATAATAGAAGTGAAAGAAAATTAGTAAGATGTACATGAAAATAATATAACTTTATTAATAAGTAAACAATAACAATATGATATAACAACAACAAAGATATATGAAAACAAAAACATGATATAAAAACAACAAAAACATGATATAAAAACAACAATGATACAATGACTGATAAAAGGATTAAACTTATTCTAATATCTCCATGCATACCACATTAAGAGTAAAAACACTTTCAGATTGCTTGAGTAAGTCCCTTGTGATGAAGTATTTACAACTTTAACTTTAAGGTCACATACTCTTTGAACTCGAGAGAAAGCAGCATATAACTGACCATGTCCAAAAATGGGTTCAGGTAGGAATATTCCTACTCTGTCTTAATAAATCACAAGAGTTTATCCTTGTGATTTATTAATAGTCATTGCAAATGCTGGCATCACAGGAAACTGCCTTCAAATTAATTAAATGGGAGGCCAGTGTCAGACGGAGACAAATAAATTAGTTAACATTAATTTTTAAAAATATGCTGGGTGTTCTAGAAAATTTATATCATTTGGAGGAACTTCGCCTTTGCTACAACACTGAGTACATTTTCCATCAGATGGTTTTTCACTGGAGAAATTTAGGGATAGGCAAAATTGACATGTAACAGTCCTTCCACCACAACTGTGTTCGATAATTGCACCCTCATTTACCTCATTTTTGCTATGAAGGCAGTTCCTACTATTATTGGCAGTACTTGTTGATGGCTGTTTTTCAGACATATTCTGTTGACGAAGTTGCTTTCTTTCAGCCTCAGAGGATCATTGTGCCAACAGTTGGTCTGCAGATACGTTCTGTCAATGACCCTGGCTTCTTTTGGCTTCAGAGGTATGTTGTGGCAATAGTTGATCTTTAGACATATTCCATTATCAACTTCGGCTTCAGAACGTCAACAAAAACGTGACCTCATTACCCGGTGCCCACGGCCACCATTTCCAGGCTGGGCTGGGCTGTGGTCCGCATTTTGCACCATGGGGTCTTGGCAGCATCGGCTGTGATTTGGTGGACTGTCTGTCACTCCAGGATGGTGGCAGGGCCTATTCCCACTTGGGGGAAGCGGAGGGTTGCTTTGTGGACACCAGATATGCAATGTCATTTCTCTGTGTTTGTCACAGCAGCTCCTGTGTTGAGTGTCTGCCCTCTGGTGGTCAGTGCACATCATAGTGACCAGGTGGACAGTTGGACATTTAGCATATTAACCATATATAATTCAAACAGCATAGAAAATACAGAATAAAACTTACAAACTCCCTCTTCACCCTTCACTTACATTCCCATGGCTATGACCTAAAGTAATCTTTTGATAGTGTCTATTTTTAATTCTCATGGCCACCTTCACAAACCTAAATACTATGCTTATGTTGCTATTTCTTCACTTACTGACTTTACCTATTTTCTTCCCATTCTAAAGATAAGGAACTTAATTACTGTGTTTCATCATTGTCGTCACCATTTTTCTTTAGTTATTTTTAATTTAATTTAGTCTATTGTTACAATTATAATTTTAAAGACTATACTTAGAATTCTATCTATTGATCAACCAACTTTAAACAAACAAACAAAAAAAACCCCTTGACTCTTCACCATGTGATACAGGAAATGTGCATCCCTGTATTATCTACACACTTCTTCCTTCCTCACATTTCTTAAAACTGTCCGCTATAAAAGATACATAATGTTAGCATTTATCCTAAAGCTATGGCAGGTCAGATAAACCTGGTCTAGATCAAGTCATAAAATCTAAAGTCAATAGATATCATTTATAATTTTATGATAATATAAATGACTGCTCACTGCAGAATCAGTAAGACTCAGAGAAACACAGCCATTAAGAGAACAAACCCTGGAATTACACCCTTTGGGTTCTGATCCTGGATCCGCTACTATTATATATAGCCTGGAGCAAGTTAATCTATTTCTCAGGCCTTAGTTTTCTGGTCTTGGAAGTAGAGATAATTAGAGTCACTCCTCCATAGTTTGTCACAAAGGTTAAAAGAGATGTCTTTCAGTGTCTGGAACAAAGCAGGATTTAATGTTACTATTATTATTATTAGTCAGTATAATAATCCATGTTGTATAAAATGTTAATTATAACTATTTTCTATTTTTTATTTTCTTTACTTAAAAAAAATCTATGCAAAATGAAATACACTGAATGGCCAGATTATTATGATCTCTGAATGCATAATAATCTGGCCACTCAATGCGCAGGCGTGCGTGTATGTGTGTGTGTATGTGTGTGTGTGTGTGTGTGTGTGTGTGTGTGTGTGTGTCTATGAGGCTTCGTGCATGGGTAGTGTCTGGCCAGCCTGGCCAGGAGGAGGGGACATTGGCAGATGGCTGGCCTGCCTGCTGGTCAAACTTCTGGTCAAGGGGCAATTTGCATTTCAGTTTCTTATTATATAGGATATACAATGAGTGGCCAGATTATTATGCGTTCAGAGATCATAATAATCTGGCCATTCAGTGTATTTGCATATTAGCCTTTTATTATATAGGATATACACTCGTTCACCATTAAATTGGAAGGAAATAGTAGTGGGAGCCAAGCATGTAAAATAGTTGATATTCAGGAAATGCATGGAGGCTTAGAAAGACTGGAGAAGCCCCTTTAACGCCACCCTGGGTGAGGCAGAGAGCTTCCTTCAGGACCCACGTAGCACTGCCTTCGCAGGCGGGGAAGCAGCCAGCATCCTCCCTGAACAACCACACCATTTAAGAAGGCCTTATTCCTTTCAAAATGCTCATTTTTCCATTTCATTTTAAAGAATGGAAAGCAAGTCCTAGGTTAGGAGGCATGAGACATCTTACCCTACTACTTGGTCCAAAGAATGAAATTAATAAATTTAAGCACTTGCTAATACAACAGTCACCAAATCCGAGGTCTTTAAAATATATTTTCTTTTAAAACTAGTGGAGATCTTTACTTTCCCTCCTCTAGGGCACATGTCCAGGGCTTACCAATGCGGCAGGTGGGCAGGTGACCCCCAGGGTAAGTGACCTCTCCTCTTCGGGAGACGCCCAGGCCCCTACCAGTGGGGTTTCCCAACCCCTTTCCCAACCCACCTATTGGCATTTTCCTGGCGAGCAATGACACTTAACAGTTTCCTTTATGTGCTTACTGTCTATTTGTATGTCTTCTCTATGCTCAAATATTTTGCTTATTTATTAATCAGGTTGTTTCTTTTTTATTATTGTTTTATAATTACTATTGTAACTATACTCTTTTAATTGTTGTAGCTTTACAGTAAGTCTTAAAGTCAGAAGTGTAAAATTTCCCATTTTGTAACTCTTTTACTAGATTGCTTTACGGCATGCAATGGTTTATGGGAATTATCTGAAATAATTTTATTTTTTATTTATTTAATAAATCCTCCTGCCGGGACTGGTTTGGCTCAGTGGATAGAGCGTCGGCCTGCGGACTGAAAGGTCCCGGGTTCGATTCCAGTCAAGGGTATATACCTTGGTTGCGGGCACATCCCCAGTGGGAGTTGTGCAGAAGGCAGCTGATCGATGTTTCTTTCTCATCGATGTTTCTAGCTCTCTATCCCTCTCCCTTCCTCTCTGAAGAAAAAAAAAAAAAATCAATAAAATATATTAAAAAAAATAAATAAATCCTCCTTATGAAGAAGTAAGTGGCAACAGAAGAGGTCATGGTTGTTTTTATCCAATGCTGTGTAACATAGAAAGATAATTAGAATGTAGCCAGAATTGAATAAATATATGCTGATTGAATAGCTTTCCATGGACAGTTAAAAATCAGCTCAAGAAAACATTTTTTTTTTGTTTTGTTTTTATGTATGGTCACAAAGTTGTTTTGGTGGTATTTGTACCCGATGTAGTATTTGCTAGTATGATTGCTTACCTAGTTTACCATTTTCACAGTTAAAAAAAATCAAATATATCCTCAAGGTATGGGGATGAATCAATAATAATATTTTAATAGATTTTTGTATAAGCTCTAAAAGAAGAATTCCATATAAGTTTGACTGTAAAATCCTTGTATGATTATTCTAGGAAAACAAAACTTGTCTGAGTATTTAAAATTATTCTTTTTAACATTAGTGGTTTTATTTTTATTCTACCGTGGCTCTCAGAAAAACAGAAGAAATCAGCTTTTATAAATTAACATTCTCATCCAGTGGCCTTTACAATGCTGGCACCAGATACTTTTAAAGGTACACACATTTCATGTACACAGGCTCCGAGGGCATCACAGCCTGAGCCCAGAGGGACCTGGCCGTGTGAAGAGCCGGTTCAGGGAGCACAGGATTCTGTCTGTCCGAGCCAGCGCCACACTGCGCAGTGGTGAGGACATGGAGTCTGGAGCCAGGCTGCTACAGTTTGGCTTATTACGGGATATTTCTCTGTCCCCCTACATATACACACACACACACCGCATGCAGCCACATGCCAACACAAAGCCATATTGCAAAGTTGGGAGGCCACTTCCTGCAACTGCTAGCTGCCAAGGCTGACTCCATCTCCGTCTGACCTGACCCACATCTGCCCAAGCTAATCGCTGATCCTCTTACCCATCCGAGCGGCTTCCCACTTCTCATCTCCATCCTCTTCCTTTCCTAGGCCACAGACAGCCTTTGTCTCACCCCGGGAACAGACGAAGGGTGTCTCCCTTTCCAGCACATTGTCTTAAAGTGCCAGCTCAGCTCCACCCCAGCCAGGCAGGCAGGGAGAGGGAGAAAAGCTCTGTGAAGCTCTCATGACTTTGTATCTTTAAGACAAAAGTGTAATTTTTGTAAAGGCTATCGCCCAAGAATTCCACTAGCTACCTTCATGTGCCAGCCAGCTACATCACAAAGGAAATAAACTTTTTTTCTTTCATTTGCTGCAATAAAAGGTGTTGCTATTATTTGCACTGAGTTACGTACACTTCTTCCCAGAGCTACATCTCCTGCCTGTCTCTCCATGCTCCTAGGTGAGTGATTCTGGCGTGAGTGATTCTGGCTAGATTTCAAGCACCGGAGCAAAGAAAGAGCAACAAATCTGAAGCCCTCGTTCCACCCAAGGAGAGATCCTGGCCGCCCGAAGGTGGAATCTCTACCTTGACTCACTCTGCGGAAGCTGACTGCCCCTCTTGTCCAAATCCAGCCGTGTTCCCAGGAACAGATTTGCTGCAATCTTGAAAGTGAAACTGAAGTTAAAAAAAAAAAAAAAAAAAAAAAAAGACCTGTCCTATCTAGTTGGTGCATTCTAAGAAGGGCAAAGGAAATAAAACACAAGCACAGCAAGAGGCATGGAAAACAGCTCCTTGAGAATATCTTCCTCCATTTTCTTAGGTGCAGTCCCCTGGGTTTCCTTAAAAGGGGCACAGATTTAGCCACAGAGGAAGTTCAGACAAAGAGACTTCACCCCTCAGTGCGGGCAGAGCCGGTATTAAATAGTTAATGAATAATCTAACTGAGAGGGAATTCCTCTGCTATTAACCCGAGGCTGATGCAAAACTGTCAGAATTGAACAGTGTGCAGTCAGAGGGACAGAAAAAACCACTCTGTGCCTAATCAAAGCTAATTACTTCCATTTCTCTAATCTCGCTTTCTCTTCTTGCTGACACTGTAAAGGAAGTAAGTGCAGAAACTCACCCTTTGATCAGAGAAGGGCCAAGTTTCACAGCTGAGAGGGTGCCAGCGCTGTTCACAGGCAGAACCTGCGGGGAGCACCCAGGCGCCCCCAGAAAGTTCAGCTTCACTGTCTTGTCTTCCATTCGCTTTACTGACTCCAACTGGTTAAAGCAATGTGCTTGTCCAGAAATGAGCACATTTTTTATTATGATTTATTATTATAACTACACAGTGGCCTGGTGTATGAACTTCATGCATGTGTTGGGAGAGGTGTCTCTCAGCCCAGACTGCACCCTCTCCAATCTGGGACCCCTCAGGGGATGTCCTACCTGCAGTCAGACATCCCTCCCACAATCCAGGACCACTGGTTCCTAACCACTCACCTGCCTGTCTGCCTGATCACCCCTAACCACTCTGCCTGCTGGCCTGCTCAGCCTCAACTGCCACTCCCCGCCAGCCTGCTTGCCTCCAACTGCCCCCCCCCCCCCCCTGCCAGCCTGATAACCCCCAACTCTGCCTCCCCCTGCTGGCCTGCTTACTTCCAACTGCTCTCTCCCTTCTCTCACCCTCTCGGCCTGATTGCCCCTAACTGCCTCTGCCTTGGCCCCACCACCATGGCTTTGTCCGAAAGGAAGGACATCGAGAAGGTCCCCCGGTCTAATTAACATATTATCCTTTTATTAGTATAGATAGGTATTTTAGCAAAACATGACGATTAGCAGGGACTGTAGAGATCACCTCATCCAACCCCTTAGCCTGAGAAATGAGGAAAATGAAACCTAGTGGTGAGAGATTTGCCTAAGCTGCCACAACGCCTTATACAAACAAGTAAAGTAATAAAACTGCTTGAGGTGGTTGGAACAGGTCCCTAGCTTGACTGGGTTGCAGAATTAAGAGCAAGAAGTAAATGTATGTCAGTGTGTACACTGCCCACCCCTGGGCCCCAGCGGTAGCTATTGGTTATTTAAGAGGGTCAATATTGTTCACAGGTTTCATGTAGATGGACTCATAGGACTTTTTGAAATAAATCTTTATTATAAGGAACAAGGAGATTAGAACAACCGATCCAGTGTTAGCAGAAAGCCAAGGTCAGACTGTATCTTTCCATCATTAAAACTTCTCATGGGCCGAAACCGGTTTGGCTCAGTGGATAGAGCGTCAGTCTGCGGACTGAAGGGTCCCAGGTTTGATTCTGGTCAAGGGCATGTACCTTGGTTGCGGGCACATCCCCTTTAGGGGGTGTGTAGGAGGCAGCTGGTCTATGTTTCTCTCTCATCGACGTTTCTATTATAGCTCTCTATCTCTCTCCCTTCCTCCTCTCCGTAAAATATCAATAAAATATATTATTAAAAAAACACACAAACCTTCTCATTGGTTTATAATGTGATGACTATATTGTGGGCCTACATGGGTAGTTACCCTCACAGCAGAGCATTAGATAAACAGTGAACTGTGCTCAGCCACCCTTCAGAAAGGATGTTGTCTTGCTCGGTGGCTGAGATTCTAGAGGGCATTTCTTTTCCCTTTTTGAGCTCTTTCCCTACCGTGAAGGTGCAGTTCCTCTTACCAGCGCCAGTTCCATTTCTGCTCCTTAAGCTTCGGAGAGCTTAAATGAACCTCAGCCAAACCATAAACTCAGCAAGAACATGAATGAAAGAGGAAATAGTGCGATGACCTTTCTACTGTTCTCACTCATGTCTACTGAGCGAGATTGAACTTGAACTTCCCTTCTGCCAAAGAAACCAACATTTAACACACAAGGGTTTCTGGTTTCACCTGAATTTTTACTTTTTTGTAATTTTACCAAGTAGTTGCACAGTGGCGATAACTTTGTGTCTAAGTCAACCTGTGAAGCGGGTTAGTGCGGATGGCGTTCTCGTGGTATGGCTAAAGGCTCCTCAAACTCCATGCCTTGAATTCGATATTTATTTACTAAAAGAAAATTCTAGACCCAACTTCACTGTCACCCTACACTTTAAACATCCCAATGAAATTTGGATAAATTGATGTCCACTGGGCACCCAATGAATTTAATCAGAAATGTCAGGCAATACCATTAAATTATCATACTCAACACAAGGAAGTTTAAAGTATCAAAAGCAACTACAGGTTTCTCCTACCCTTTAAAATAGTGCTCCTTGGAAACCTTTTATAAGCCAAATGGCATAAAGAGAAGAAGCAATGATCATTAATTTCATATGGAAAAAACTTTGAGCATTCCCAGACTCAAAAAACATAACTTACTAAATCAAACCAAATAGCATCTAAAATCCAAAATAACACTAACAGATAGTAAAAGCAGGAACCATATAATAAATACACAATATAAATCTGTATAAAGTAAAATAATGTATGTACAGAGCAGTTTTCCTTATAAACCGACTGACATATCCTCAAGATACACTTAGACAAAACAGGTACTAATATAGGTCATTCATAAAAGCAAAGAGGCTTAATGAAAAAGCAGGCCATACCTCTAACAACTTACCATAATGATACTGAACTGGTCGTTGGTGAGAATTAATGCTCATGAAGATTGATTTCCATTTTATAATTCGAATTCTGAACCAGCGGGGAAATGAAAAAAAGAAGGCCCAGGTTGGAAGGATTGGGCAACTGAATTAACTACACGTCTTCTTATCACCTAAGAGGAAGCTTTGTCTGTATTGTGGACTGATTTATAATAATATGAGAACCAGTTCTTAAAAAGTGAGAAGTGAAAGTAGGAGGAAAGTGGAGAGGAGGAAGGCACACTATGAAAACGATTTGGAGAAAAAATACATAACCCTGACAAAATTCAGAAGGCTCCAATAGAGTTTACAGTTTCTATAAAAAGCTAGCCTTAGACTTTACTTTATGTAGAATTAGGCCTATATAAGAGTTGAATGTACACTTTAACATCATCAAAAGAAATGCTGACTTTTTTTTTTTAATTACCTCTTTCTGTTGTTTGTCCACATTTCTACTTGGTTTGTATATTTTTAGAATTGATTTGTAAGGGCTTTTTGGAATATTACAGAAATTGACTTTGACCTAAATATATTGCAAGTTTTTTTTTTTTTTTTTTTTTTCCTGATCTGTTGCCTGCATTTGACTTTTTTAAGTCATTGTATTAACTACACAAAAGTTCCTCATGGGGATTATATTATATTATATTATATTATATTATATTATATTATATTATATTATATTATAATGATAGACTAGGAAATGTTGAGATCTTGTTCCATCAAAAAACAAGAAACTGGCTGAAGCAGCCCTATCGTAGCTCTGGAAAACAGCCAAAGATCTATAGTAACTAAGTGAATGCCCCATGAAAAAAAAAATTTTGCCTTAAAAAAAGAGAAAGATAGGACACTTCATGGCATTTTTATATTCATGTTTGCCCTACCCCCTCTTCAGCTCAGCACACTCTTCAGTTGGAAGACACAGCAGCCCTATTTCTAGTTATCTCCTTTGAACTGAAGATTGCAGACAACTGGGACAAAAGATTATAGGTGAGGACATACAGTAGAACATCTAAGGCCCTGAAGAGAAGTTGGCATGAGACTTTTGGGATATTAAGACATTCAAACACAGTCATGTGCATGAGGCCATTAAGAAAGCTGTAGGAGCCGGGACTGGTTTGGCTCAGTGGATAGAGCGTGGGCTTGGGGACTGAAGGGTCCAGGGTTCAATTCCGCTCAAGGGCATGTACCTTAGTTGCGGGCATATCCCCAGTAGGGGGTGTGCAAGAGGCAGCTGATCGATGACGCTCTCTCATCGATGTTTCTAACTCTCTATCTCTCTCCCTTCCTCTCTGTACAAAATCAATAAAATATATTAAAAAAAAAAAGAAAGAAAGAAAGCTGTAGGAAGCATTGTCTTCACTGACAGAAAAGTATAAACAAGGGATGCAGAAGGCTTATGAACCTTGAGCTCTGGCAAAGTCCAAAGCTATGCACTGTTTAATTGAGACAATGGTGTCTCAAGCAATTTCATGACCAAATAGTCTCAAAGTAAATCTTACTAATATTTACTGACCTTTACGATTGTCTGTTACTGGAATGGCTGCCTGACTAAGGGCAATACGTCTATCCAAAATTGAATAAAAGGTTGGCAGGGCCTGGGCACCAGCCAAGTCCTTCCCCTTGCGTTCGACTCTCCACATGGCCCCTCATTATTTCCAAATTATTATTTCTTATCTCATCATTTGCCTGTGGCCCTTCTCCAAATCCTGAACCCTAAGCCATGTGGGATGTGGCTTATGACCTTTGCAAATTATTTCATCTTTCTAAGCATGAATTTCTTCCTCTGTCTATTGGAGACAATGTAAGCAACTGACTGAATTCTGTAAGGTTTCGGGACAATTACAATAAATGCCTGGCACATAAGAATTTACAATAAATTACAGCTATTATTTGTACTATGAAGAAAAATCAAGTAGTTCTTGCAAGAAAACTAGAGAGGCAGTGCCCCTGAGTTTTGAACACTCAAAATGAGTGTGGGCAATAGCTTGCTGGCGTGCAAGAACAAATCAGTGGAACAATGTAGTGTTTTTCAAAGAGTAGGCGTAGACAGTCTAGGAAAACAATACCTGACTTTATCTGTATAATACCATCTGGTGGCAGGCAGATACTGTTACAGCCAGATGCCCATATGTTCCAGGCACACCACCAGCACATCAAAAGGGGAAATTGGTTAAGGAGATAACATTGAAAAGACTCTTTTTGAAGATATTAAGGGACTTTAAGATGTATATTTTAAAAATAAGGGTATGCTTTTGACATAGTTATAACAAAATTATTATCCAATCTT